GGGGGGGTTGCATGTTAAACTCCTTGGGTTTTTGTTTCACGGTGTCTTTTGTCACAAACTGTCCGTTAGGTGCCAGCTGGGCAGCGAAGCCCCTACCTTCTGCCCTCAGACCCTGAGGTTCAGACTGTGCTGATCCTGAGCTGAGCCTTAGGGGGTGTTTTGGCAGCATGTGGATGGACGAGAGTCCGGACACTTCTGCCTGTTTGGACTTTTGCAGCACAGACTCTGCACCGCGCTGTTGTTTGACAATCTGAACAGGGAAAAACGATGAAAAAGTGAAAACACAGAGCATTTGAAGAGACCTCAGGGAAATGATTCTCCTGCGTTTTGTGTTTCCGCGTCAGGTTCTGCTTGTCTGGCAGGCATGTTATAGTCTGGGTGAGATTGACTTGCAAACTTGCATGAGTTAGATAAACTTTAGATAAGCACTTAGATGATCTTAAATATACAAACACATCATGTAAAAAGTGTTGCTAATGATTGTAAAACAATGCTGTATTCTAATCATTTTGCGGCTGATGTTACTGGGTACTGTCACTTAAAATTTTGCATCATTTATTGTATAAGTGTTGTTTTTGGTGATGCATATCTGTACAGTTCACTTGCTAAGTTTTAATCTACATGGTGGGTGTGTCTTTCTACTTTTCCGTGAAAATGCTTCTTTTGTGCCGTTGTGCCGTGTGTTTGGTAATGTTTCAGAAATGTCTTTCCACTATTCGGACGGTGCCGCTGATTCATGTTGTCCCGTGACTCTGACTGGGTCTGTTTGTCAAAATTGCACAGACCGCGCCGTGACATCGTGGGTAATCTGGGTGCAGATGCGTCTGTGGCTCCCGTGAGTCTCTCAGTCGGGGACAGGAAACCCCAGAGGCCCCTGCAAAACCGGGCTCTCAGCATAGGACAGGGGGAGCTGTCAGTGGAGGTCCTGAGCCGTGGAGGTCCGGCCCGTCGTGTCCCGCGGCGGACAGGCTGGCACTTGGCGCGGCGCTGAGCGACCGTGACGGGGTTAATGTTCTGGCACTGCTGTTTCTGGACAGGTTGGAGCACTCCCAACCCAGACCGCCCCTCCCCCCACCTTAACCCATTCCCCCCTCACGGGCTCTGACGCTGGTCCAGGCAGCGCCACTCCGGGTGTATAGCACTGGGGTCAGGAGCATAATTCAGGACCACTGCAGACCCCTGTGAGTGGGGGTGGGGGGGTGGTTGCAGTGATCAGGAACACTTGGAGATTGGACATGAGTCAACAATTCCTCACAGTGAAGAAACCAGTTAGACCGGTTATGTAGGGGGCCCATGGGGGGGGAGGGGGGGGGGAGTTTTCAGAGCAGCCCAGCTGCTTGCAGTCAAAGGCGGATCCGTAACACCCCCCCATCGTTCTGGACCTTTTCTGGGTCGTGTGTAGGAAAATAGAATAACGAAGCGAATGCACCTTCGGGAATCAAAATAGACGGAAAAAGCCGGAAGTGTGTCTGCTTGTGGGGGTCGACGTGCTAAAAAGTGTGTATTTCAAACCACTCTTCCTCCCTCCCTCCCTCTCTCTCCCGCTGTCTCCCTCTCTCTCAATCTTTCTCTTTTTAAAGGTTTCCTCAATATGATGATGACTTTAACACTCCTCTTTCTGAAGTTTGGCCAGTTGTGTCGTGTTGCTCGCATGTGTCTCATAGTTATCTAGTATCCACCCCGGTCTTGGTTTGATTGTTTAATTGTACAATTGTCTGTATTTCAGATGCGCTTTGTGTGGTGGCACCAGTGTAGGGAGACCGATTTTCCCACCATACCTATAAGAATGGAATTGAAGCAGGTTTTTTTTTTTTTTTTCAGAAACAGTCCAGACACACGCTGTCTGGACCAAATGATGATTATGCTAATTAACATCATGCCATTCCTGCAGTACCAACAATTTTATTTAGACAGGGTATTAGTCGCATGCATTTCTGGGATGATAACAGTGAGAATTGAAAGGAGGATATGAGTTGTTTGTGTTGAAGTGGATGTGTTGGGAACTCTGGATATGCCCATGATGGTTGACTGGTCTATGGGGACATGAGCATGTGGTTTTTAAACAGACGGGCATTTTTTAGACGCCGACGTTTCAGAGGGTTACAGCTAACGAGTCCGCTATGTGAGCTGGCCTCGAAAACCATCAAGGATCGGGGTCTGTTTCGGCCTCGTGGGATAAACGGCGCGGTCGAAGCTGACAGGCATCACAGGGATCCATCCTAGTCAGCTTCCTAATCCCCCGTGACGTGAGGGCCTTGGACAGCTGCCGCGCGGCTTCCGCAGCAGAAGTTGCCATTGACCGCGCTGCACTGGTCCGACATGCACTTCATGCCCGCGAGACTTGATTGGATTATGGGCCAGTGGGGGAGGGACAGACCTGTCTAGCTCATACTGTGACCGGCTTAGCGGCCTCCTTTGCCCTCGCCTCCACCATCATCATCACGGTGGGTGTTTATCACACCCCTCCCAGGCTTCCTCGGTGGGCCAGATCCTTCGAAACCATGACCCGTGGACGCTGACCCCCCCCCCCCCCCCCATTTCCTCATTGTGCCACCGCACCTCCACCAGCACCGTGGCTGTCCTCGTTTCCCAGAATGCCAAGCATTTGCTCATGTGTTTATTGTTGTTGGGTGGATGGGCGTTTCGAGTCGCCTGTTATCATTGCAATCTAATACAAACCTCTGCACTTTTGACAACAGTAACAGACATAATTAACTACAATTATGCCCCAGATTTTAAATACCTAAATGTATGGATTATTGTCATTTAGCTCTGAAGTCTGAGAGTCCTGGAATTAACTGGACATTCATTTTTAGACCGTCTTCAGATGTATCGCCAGCCTTGCCTCAGGAAGGGATGGGGGGAGTAGGAGGGGGTGGCTGTTTTGAATATTTAAGTGGCACGACCCGACTGATCGGTGATCCAGTGAATCGAAAATAATGACTCGCGTGGGATTTCCAAATGTGGCTATTATTCAGGCTGCCAGGGTAAGGCAATGCACCAGGGCATGCGGGAAGGGGGGGGGGGGTTCCTTCACGTGACCCAGGCCGACGGAGGAGTGCTAATTCGAGGCCTGTTGGGGAGGGAGGGGGCACTAGCAGGCAGGAGGTATCAGATTGTGAATTCCCACCCAGGCGTCTGTCACAGGCGCTGCGTCGGGGAGGGAGGGGGGTGACGAAGATGGGGAGCTCCTGAGGGGGGAGGGGCAGCTTCCCCAAATTTCGTATTCCTCAGTCACATGGTCTGATGTGAAAATGAACACAACAAGAAAGTAAACGGGCTCCATAATTTGTCATCATGTCCGAAGTCTATTCTCCCTGTAGTATCTGTTCAGTTAAAAGTTTGGGCCACCTAAGGTGTATCCTGCTACTGCAGAAGAGAAGCTTCTGTAAGCTGTAGATTGTCCTGGCTTACAGTCCCCCAAAAGATTCTTTTTCTGTTTTAATTTAGCTAGTTTCGGGTCTTTAGCTGCAATTGCATAGCATTTCTGCAAACTCAAAAAAAAAAGAAAAAACAGGAGAAAAAACAATGGTCAATGGCACAAAAAGACTATAAATGTGGATGAATGAGTCGATATGCGGCAGTGCGTGCGGAGGGTCCGATGGGACATGGTGACGATCGATGCTGAGCGTCTAAAACGGCGGGGTAGCTTGGAAAGAAGGAGGCGTCCTTCAGGAGCGCGCCGGCCCCTCCCCGGAAACGAAAGACAGCGGAGAACGGGGGTGGGGGCGGGTGGTGTTACATCGCCACTGAACCGGAGAAGCCCCGTCTTTTACCTCTCGCCACGGAGGTAATCTATTTCCTTGCGGCGGGCCAATTAAAAATCTATCTGAACTTTGGAACGGGCCCGTAGTGGGAATGTGGCGTGTGCAGAGCTGGTGGGGGAGGAGGGGCTGGCAGAGGAGTGGGGGGGGAGAGATTAATGCGTGTGCTCACCTTGTAGCATAACAAGTCAGGGGATGCATTAATCACCTGGGAAAACCTTCACCTGCGCTTTCATCGTCACAATCAAGCCGTGTCAGAAACGGGAATTTGCATAAGTTATATTTTCGTCTGCGGATCGCTGATAAAACCCAGGGGGTGGGGGGGGGCAGTACCCGGGGTGCAGTGGGGGGCGTTCATCGTGAACAGGTATTCCGAATTGTCAGAGCCACTGGTCCCGACTGGCTCAACCCAGAGGCTCCGCCTTTAATGAAGTGACCCGCCCTCCTGCCTTCCGCCGCTCCGGAATGAACAGCCTCCCTGGATCCGGTGACCC